CTTTCTGTCTGTCTGTGTGTATGTGCATCTCATAGAAGAGGGTGTCAGATCCCAGAAATAGATTATGGATGGTTGTGAGCCACTGTGTAACTGTTATTGGGAAACAAACCGGGGTCCTCTGCAAGAACAAGAAGGGCTGTTTTTTTTGCTTGGCTTTTTGAAACAGGTTTCTGTTTGTTTTGTTTTATTTTTTTTCTGTCTGTTTCTGTTTTGCTTTTTTTGTTTGTTTGTTTTTTGGGTAGCCCTGGCTGACCTGAAACTCTCTGTAGACCTGTCTGCCCTCAAACACAGAGATCCTCCTGCCTCAGTCTCCCAAGTGCGGGATTAAAGGCTTGTGCTACCATGCCCGGCTATAACAAGTGTTCTTAACCACTGAGCATCTCCTTTAAATTTTTGTTTATATTACACTATTTATTGTGTTTGCACACACACGTGCCACAGTGTACACATGGAGGTCAGAGAATGGTGTTCAGCTGTTAGTGTTCTATTATGTGGGTCCCAGTGATTGAACTCAGATTGCCAGGCTGCACAGTGTCCATTTTTACCTAACAAACCATAATCTGCCCCTTTCTTTTAGAAATAGTTTCACTGGGTGTGGGGCTCATACCTTTAGTACCAGATGGAGGGTCTCTGTGAGTTAAAGGTCAGCCTGGTCTTCATATTAAATTCTACATGGAGAGACTCTCTCAAAACAAAAACAAACTGGGCATGGTAGCACATGCTGTAATCCCAACGCTTGGGAGGTAGAAGCAGGAGAATTAACAGGAGTTGAAGACCAGCTTGGCCTACATAGTGAACTCTAGGTCAGCCAGGGATGTAGTGAAAGTTAGGTAGGTTTGATGGCACATGCCTTTGATCCCAGTCAGAGGACAGCAGATCTCTTTGCATTCAAGGCCAGCCAGGTCAACTTAGATAGATCCTGTCTGTTAAAAAAAAAAAAGTATGTTTCCTGTGGCGCTCAGATTCTGTTTCTTCCATTGGCAGCTCAGGTTTCTCATGCTGCTAAGTTTAGCTGTGTTTTCCCTGAACTCTTCCTCTGCTTAGAAAACAGATACTGTTTGGTCTGTATATTCAGCTGGTGGAGAGGTGGGCTGGAGGTGAGAGTTACATATCTTTCCTAAAAGAGGACAGTGCCTTTTAAGTGTGTGTCGGGGCAGCTGTGCACAGCACACAGGAGTCTCCGTTTTCTGGAGCATAATCGTGAAGAGTAAAGAATACCCTTTTCCTCTCTTTCTTTTCCCAAGACAAGGTTTCTCTGTGTAGTCCTGGCTGTACTGGACTCACTCTGTAGACCAGACTGGCCTCAAACTCACAGATCAACCTGCCCCTGCCTCCCAGAGTGCTGGACTACAGGCGTGTGCCAGTATGCCTGACCCTTTTCACTCTCTTGATCTTCTAGTTTGTATCCTAAGCTGTGTTCTGAATTAGGGGTACACAGTCATGAAAAGATTTGGAGCCCCTTACGGTCTCATCTTTCCTGAGAACTGCAGCTGCAGGAAGCTAGAGCAGGAGAGGGTCACCTGCCTGGATGGCAAGGAAGACTTCACAGAGAAGGGGCTTTTCAAAGGGTGGGCCAGCCTGGGCAGGGAGGAGCAAGAGAAGATGGGGGAGGTGCTGTGTCACAGAGCAGGCTCTTAGATGATCTCATTTAACGCTGCAATGGTGTAAAACAATTTACATTGTTATTCTTTTCTTGCTTTTTTGGATCTCATCTGTAGTCCAGGCTGGCTTGGAACTCATTATATAGCCCAGATTGGGTTCAACATTACTGCAGTCCTGCTTGAGCCCCAAGTCTGGGGTTAAAGGTGTGCTCCAACATGCCCAACCTATCCTCATTTTAAAAAAAAAAAAGAGCTGGGTGTGGTGGCAACGCCCTCAGCCCACAGACTCTGAGTCAGAGGCTGGTGGATCTCTGTGAGGTCAGCCTGATCTACAGGTCAATTCCAGGACAGCCAGAGCTATACAGAGAAACCATGTCTCAAAAAATTTTTTAATTGTATGTACATGTGTGTATCTATGTGTGGGAATATGCACATGAATGGAGGCGCCCCTGGAAGCCAGAAGAGGGCATAGGGTACCAGGGAGCTGGAGGTACTGGTCATTTGAACCACCCAATGTAGTGGCCGAGAGCCTAACATTGGTTCTCTTCAAGAACAATACATGACCCATCTTCTATCCCATAGAATAAAAATTCTTATCATTTATTTATATATTTGTGGGGATGGGGAAAATTCAGGAGCACCCAAGCATGCGGTAAAGGTCAGAGAACAAGTTGTTTCTCTGCAAGGTTCCCAATTCTTTCTACCATATTGGTTCTAGGAACTGAACTCAGGCTGTCAAGATTGGCAGCCCTACCCTCATTTTATAAAGGAACCAGGACCCCATATTGAGTTAGAAGCAGCACTGGATTCAACCCAAGTCAGTGATTTTCCAAGTGGTATCCTGCCGCTTCCAGAGAGTGAATAGTGCAAGGACGGCTTCACGGGCAAACATGCACTGTGGTTTGGTGGGGTGCATAGTCCAGGCAGGCTTGGGTGACATTGGGGGGTGCTGGCCAGGGATGGGAAAGAAGAGAAGCTGCATACCTTTGGTGGTCCCAGGTCTGGGATCTGCCACAATTGGCAGAGAGCATCTGTGCCATCCATTGCTGGCCTTGGCTGAGCTCCAGAATTTGCTGTTCATCTTTCAATTAGAGACCACTTCTCTTCCCTTCATGCTGTGAAGTGGCCTTGGTCCCTTCCCTCTGCTTCTCTTTCCCTTCCCTCCCTGCTGGGGATCTGCCTGGGTGTGGTTCAGCTGCACCGTGACAGGGACGCTTCTCCGGGACCTTCCTCAAACTCGTTGCTCAGCCTTTCTCTTGTCCTCTACCCTCCCTCCAGCTGAGACACGTGGCCCTTCATGTTTACAGCGCCCTTGCTACTTTGGTGAGGTTGACTCTAGGGTTTTCCTGACACTTTGATCCACAGCCATCTGAGCTGTCTGTCTGGGAAACAGAGGGGCCTTCTCTGGTCTCAGGAGAAGTCAAAGGAGAAACTGTGTCATATGACTGCAGTCTTGGGAATAGAACTCTCTCATTGCTTTGGAAGAGAGTTTCGTGTTGCCAGGAGTGGTGGTCCAAATATAGGATTGCAGCTTTAGGGAGGCCGAGGCAGGATGCTTCTGAGTTTGAGACAAGACAAACAAAACAAAACATTGGGCTGGAAAGATGGCTCAATGGTTAAGAGCACCATCTGCTCTCACAGAGATCTTGCGTTCAGTCCCCAGCAACCACATGGTAGCTCACAACCACCTGGTGCCCTGTATTGCCGTGCAGGCAACATGCAGACAGAGCACTCATATATTCATTTATTTTATGCATATTAGTGCTCTAAGAGGGCAGTAGAGGGTGTAGATGGTTGTGAGCCACCATGTGGTTGCTGGGAATTGAACTCAGGACCTCTGGAAGAGCAGACAGTGCTCTTAACCACTGAGCCATCTCTCCAGCCCCCATATACATCTTAAAAAGAAAGAAAACATTGCAGAAAAATGTAGCAATGGCCCAGTGGCTGAGAATGCCAGCTGCTCTTCCAGAAAACCCTGGTTCAATTACCAGCACTCATATGGTGGCTGGGTAACTCCTGTTGCAAGAGATACAGCTCCCTCTCTCGTCTTTCTAGGCAACGCACACATGTGTTACATGGTCATACATACAAGCAAAATACCCAAATGCAAAAAACAAAAGCAAATCTCCAAAAATGACTTTTAAAACTGGAAAAGATTAGCCCTTCCGTGGTGCTCTTTGATCACTCCGAGCTCACTCTGGACACACAGTGCATAACCATCAAACCAGGCTAGTTGGCATATCTGTCATTCAGACATTTTCCTCTCGTTTTCTTGTTGTTTTGTTATGTTATGTTACCTTTGATCCCAGTGCTTAGGAGGCAGAGGCAGAGGCAGGTGGATCTCTGAGTTCAAGGACTGCTTGCTCTACATAGTGAGTTCCAGGCCAGCCTGGGCTACAGTGAGACCCTGTCTCAAAAAAAAAAAAGTATGAGGACAGAAGTTCAGATCCCCAGAACCCATGTAAATCCCTAGAAATTTGTAGACTTGTAGTGAACAAGAGAACCTCTCCCCAAAAAGGAGGAAGGAGAGGACCAACATCTGAGGTTGGCACCATGGCTTGTGCACACACATAAACTCAAATTCATTTAAATATGTGTTCAAGCCAAGCCAGCTCATGCCTGTAATCCCAGCTTCTTGGGGATGAGGCAGATGGATTCAAGGCCAGTCAGGGTTATAGAGTGAGACCTTCTCTAAAACAGAACAGAACCAAAAGTCCAGCAAAGTTCTAGCAGCAGCCAGTCTTGGCTGTGGGTTATGTATTTACCTTCTTAGTGTAGCATACAAAGTAGTGTGTGTGGAGGAAGGTGAGTAAAGGTCCCTCATTCCAAGCCTGCAGCACGTGGTGTGGAGTTTGGAGGACAGCTTTCAAGTGCAGGTTTTCTCCAACCACGTGGATCCCAGGGGCCAAACACAGGTCAGCAGGCTTGGCTTCTGGCAAACACCCTTATCCACTGAACCTTCTTGTTGGCTGTAGATTTTATTTTTGCCTTTATTTTCAATAAAGCCATTTTGCTTATTTTTTATAGCTTAGAAATGTAAGAATTATACTTCTGTTTTGAAAATAGGGGCAATGAGCAGCAAGTTAGGCCTGGTATCCTTGAACACATGGCTTAACTGTCCGTGACAGCATCCTGTTTTTGCCTACAGTGAGTGTCTGAAGACACATAAGCAATGAGATTGTTTTGTGTTTTTCTGAGGGTTAGCATGCAAGGACATGGGTCAGTGGAGGGGAAAAAGCACCTTTCTGCTAACTGGTTGTATACAGTGGCTTAAAGCCTAGCCATTTGGGCCCTCTCTGCCGATCCCCTGAAGGGCAGCACAGTGTACGTGATGCCCAACTTGAGTGAGGTGAGGGAAATACACAGAAATGATTTCATTAGTTTCTCCTTCCCCTCCAGGAGTCCAGGCCTGTACATGTTGTGCTGGGAAACGAAGCCTGTGACTTAGACTCCATGGTGTCTGCTCTTGCCCTGGCTTTCTACCTTACAAAGGTGAGTACCAGGAAACAGCCCTTAGAGTGAGAAGATTCCGATTCAAGACCCAGCCATGCCACTTGTCAGAATTGAAGTTTCTCAGCTGGGTGTGATGACACATAAGCTCTTGAAAGCAGGAATCAAGAGGATAAGGACCATCCTGTGTCATTATAAATAAATAAAAGAAATAAATAAGGGCTGGAGAGATGGCTCAGAGGACCAGGATTCAATTCCCCAGCACCTACATGGCAGCTCACAATCATTTATTTTTTTTATTTTTTGCTTCTTTTTTACATTTTTAAAATTTTATTAATGTACATTAGTGTAAAGGTATCAGGTCCTTTGGAATTGGCATCACAGACAGTTGTGAGCTGCCATGTGGGTGCTGGAATTGAGCCTGGGTCCTTTGGGATAGCATCCAGTGCTCTTAACCACTGAGCTATCTCTCCAGCCCCTCATAACCATTTATAGTTGCATTTTCAGGGGATCAAAATGCCCTCTTCTGACCTCCACAGGCACCAAGCACACATATGGTACACATACGACACAGGCCAAACACTCAGGCATAAAATAAAGAAGTCAGTTAAAGCAAATAAAGTTGGAGAGTGGGTAGGATAGCTCACTCAATAAAGGCCTTGATGTGCAAGCATGAAGACCAGAGTCGAATCTCTAGGACCAATATAAAAAGTCAGGCATGGTGGCATTCCCTTCTCATCCTAGCACGAGAGAGGTGGGCAGGCAGATCCCTAGGCCTCAGCGGCCAGCCAGCCTGGCCTACCTGTTGAGTTTCAGTCAAGTGAGAGCTTTGTCCCCCTGTCCACCTGGGGGTTCTGGTGCCTTTAGAATGACAGCTGAGATTGTCCCCTGACCTCCTCAGTGCTTGTGCAGGAACGGATACAGCTGTACCCGTTCACAACACAGAAGCTAAATAAAGACCCCTAAACTTCACTGAATACTGTTTCACCATATGTCTGTTTTGAGGGATGTCTTTCTATTGCTGTGAAAAGAGACCATGACCATGGCAAGTCTTGAGAAAGAAAGCATTTGTTGGGCATAGTGACACACACACGTTTAGCCCCAGCACTCAGGGAGGCAGAGGAAGCTGGATCTCTGAGTTTGAAGCCAGTCTGGTCTACAGAGTGAGTTCCAAGACAGCCAGGGCTACACAGAAAAACCCTGCCTTAAAAATAAAATGAAAGATAGTTAATTGGGCTTGCTTACAGTTTGAAAGGTTTAGTTCATTGTCATCATGGCACTGAGCATAGTGGCACACAGGCAGACATGGTGCAGGAGAAGTGGATCCACAGAACCCACAGGCAGCAGGAAGAGAGAGCCACTGGGCACACCCTGGATCCTTGAGACCTCAAAGCCCACCCCTAGTGACACACTTTCTCCAACAAGGCCACGCCTCACAATCCTTCCCAAGTGTTGATGACTAAATATTCAAACATGAGCCTGTGGGGTGGAGGGTCATTTAAACCACCATACAGGATCTGCAAAACCATAAAGTTATATTCAAATAACTTATTGTTGAGTTTCTTATGGATACCAATGATGTAGTATTTAGTTTTCTCAGGTTAGCTATTTGATTTTTGAGACAGGTTTTCATTTATTGGACACTGATGTTGAACTTAGCTGAGGGTAGCACTGAATTTTAAGTTCTGCCTCCACCTCCTGTGTGCTAGGATTACAGGCGTAAACCACCACATTGGTTTATGCAGCCTCAGGAATTCCTAGGCCTCTTGCATGCCAGGTAAGTACTATACTAACCAAGCTACCTGCCAATCCATGTCACTTAAAAAGAAATGTTTATTCTTATTTTATGTGTCTGGATGTTTTGCCTGCATGTATGTCTATGCACTAAGTGTTTGCCAGGTGCCCCCAGTGTTGAGAAGAAGGCATTGATTCCCTGGGACTGGAGTTACAGACAGTTGTGAGCTGCCTTTTGGGTGCTGGGAATGGAAACTGGGTCCTCTGGAAGAGGAGCCAGTGCTCTTTTCCTCTGATCCATCTCTCTAACTGCTGCTCAGGTTAACTGTTAAGGACTGATAATCTCTTTCCTGTAGCATGAAGTCTATACCCAGGTCTTTCCATAAGATAGCTTGTTGGTTTCCATGTTGTTGCTAAGAAGGAGGGCAAGGACCATTGTCTCAAAACATTAGGATACAGCTCAATTCATGGTCAAGGCTCTCTGAGTTTGATTCTCCTGTATTTAAAAAAAAAAAAAAAACCCATTTATTTATTTATTTATTTATTTATTTATTTTTTGAGGCAGGGTTTCTCTGTGTAGCCTTGGATGTTCTGGACTTGCTTTGTAGACCAGGCTGGTCTCGAACTCACAGAGATCCTCCTGCCTTTGCCTTCCAGAGTATGGGGTTATAAGCATGCACTACTATGCCACCAGCCCCCAGCATCCCTTTGCTTATTAAAGATTTGGTACTTGTGACCTTGAGATGTTGGGAACTTCCCCAAGATCATGTCTCCTTTGGATATGTATGAGGGCGTGAACTCACAATCCAATCTCAGGGTTAGGGTTACTTTTTCCAGACCCTTATGATGTCTTTTTTTCAATTCCTTGACTAGACATCTGAAGCAGAAGAGATCTTCATACCAGTTTTAAATATAAAGCGTTCTGAGCTTCCTCTACGAGGGGACAATGTCTTCTTCCTGCAGGAGCTTCAGATTCCAGAGCCTGCGCTGATTTTCCGGGATGAGATTGACCTCTGTGCCCTGCACGAGGCTGGCCAACTCAACCTCACCCTTGTCGACCATCACATCTTACCCAGGTAAGTAGACGGGATGAGCCAGTGGGTACTCATCCCGTGATGCTAGACTCCAATGAAAGGCGCAGAAAGATTTGCCTTCTAGACTCTCACAGGCTAATTTTTCTACTTTTTTGTTGTTGCTCTATCTATCTATCTGTCTGTCTGTCTGTCTATCTATCTATCCATTTATTATTTATACATGTTCTGCCTACATGTGTGCCTGCACACCAGAAGAGGGCAGCAGATCTTATTCTAGGTGGTTGTGAGCCACCATGTGAGTGCTGAGCATTGAACTCAGAACCTCTGGAAGAGCAGCCAGTGCTCTTAACCTCTGAGCCATCTCGCCAGCCCCGTTTGCTTTTTTGTGTGAGACAGAAATCCACTTGCCTCAGGATGAAATTGATGGGGCCTATTAAAAATAGTATCATTTAAGCCGGGCACAGTGGTACAGGCTTGTAATCCCAGCATTCAAGAAGGCAGAGGCAGGCGGATCTCTGTGAGTTTGAGGCTGGCCTGGTCTACAAAGTAAGTCCAGCACAGCCAAGGCTACACAGAAAAACCCTGTCTTGGAAAAAAAACAAAAAAACAAAAAAACATTTCTCTAGTGTTTATGATATAAACAACAATATATAAAAATATATAAGGAACAAAAATATATAGTGAGTTCAAAAGAAATAATCATTCAAAATATCAAGTCTGCCTTCAACGTCAAAACTTTTTTCTGTTTTGAAATGGGAGTAATATGTTCTAGTAGACTATAAATACCTCAGCCATGTCTGTTCAACAAATGTGTACATCTATCCTAATTCCACTTCTAATTTAGGGCCAGAAAAAGCTGCCAAAAAGCAACATGAGTGTAAGACCTGCCTAAGTGTGTCTGGCTCCTGCTGCTCTTAAAAATGTCTATTTTTCCCTTGAGCAACACTGGTTGTACTAAGAAGTGTTAGGTGCCTAATGGCATTCATGCATCCATAAATTTACTCATTATCACCCTTTTCTGAAGTGGGTGCAGGTGACAGTTTTCTTGCATCTTTTAGTCAGGGAGAGGGAATAAGCAAACATTGTGTGGGGTGCTGGAGGCAAGCAGTAGCTGCCGCTCTAGTCAGACTTGATGGAATATACACGGACTTAACTCGTCACACTGGAGAGAAACTGGGGCCATTGATGATCTGTAGGGGAGCAGACCCTTGAGCCCGGGCCTAGGAGAGAACTTGGTGTTTGTCCCTGCAGGGTGGAAAGATGGCTGAGAGGAGCCTTTCAGACAGAGAGGAATTAACAGAGGCAAAGCCAGGCAGGCATGAAATCGCACGGAGTCGGGAACTGGGGCTTGTTTTGCACAGCTGGGTGTAAAATATGTGGGAAAGTTACGGCATGAATTGATGAGGCTGAGGTAGGCAGGGGCAGATCATAGAGGTCTTGTAGGCCCTTCTAAGGAGATTGGACTTTGTTTTTAGGTAGTAAAAACTTGTGGGTTGTGTGTGTGTTTGTTTTCAAGTGATCATTCAGGAAGCTTTTGAAGGACAGCTTAGACAAGCTTTTAGCTGAAAAGAAAATAGCCAGTTAAGAGACTTGATACTGACGGCCTTAGAAGGTAGCACAGGGTTGGAAAGGAAGCCATGAATAAAAACCCTGCCCTGATGACCTACATGGTAGTTTCATTGTTAGACAACCAGGTCAAATGTCAGAGTTCAGTTGGAAAGGCAACCCTACAGGGCAATAATTGTAGATTTACAGCACACACTTCACAGAGTTCACTTACATGCCATTTAAATGCCACTGCAGATACCACATTAAAGAAGAGAGTAGAGGCTAGAGAGATGGCTCAGTGGTTAAAAACGCTGGCTGCTCTGCCAGAGGTCCAGGGTTCAATTCCCAGCAACCACTTGGTGGCTCGTGACCATCTATAAAGAGATCTGCTGCCCTCTTCTGACATGCAGACACCCAGACACTCACATCTTTAAAAAAAAAAAAAAGGAAGAGAGTAGAGATAGGTAAGGCCAGGGTAAAGGTGACTTCTGTCTGTTTGCTAAAACCTCTACACTCTTTATGGTAGGGAGTTAGAGATTGGTCTGGGCAGCTGGAGTTATCTTGCCCACTTCTCTCCTTCTGCTCTGTGTTCACCACCGCCCACCCCAGAAGTGATGCAGCTCTGGAGGACGCAGTAACAGAGGTGCTGGACCACCGACCAATTGAGCAGAGCTACAGTCCTGCCTGTCATGTTTCCGTGGAGCTGGTGGGGTCCTGCGCTACCCTGGTGGCAGAGAGAATCCTGCAGGGGGCACCAGAGATCTTGAGCAGACAGATTGCTGCCCTGCTGCGAGGTAAGGGATTGGTTGGGGTCGGGACCTGATTGATTGTTTTGCTCCTGTCCCGGAAAGGGGGCCGGGAACGCCTACACCCGTCTGGTTTTAGTTGTGACTCGTAAAGCCATCTCCTCATCCCACAGGGCATGGTGTCTTACAGTAGGTAGGCACTGCCTGCGAATTGTGTTGGAGAAGGTGGAAAGGAAACGCGGGGCAACTGGCCTCAGCCTTCCCATTTGCGGCCTTGTTTAATGGACTCAGGGCTCACCAAAGACACAGGAAACAGAGTCTGATGTCAGTTCCACCAGGAAATGGCTGTCTTATCTTGAGCAGGGCCCTTAACCTTTCCTCTCATTTTGCCATGGGGTGTGTATGAGCTGATCTCATTTAGATTAGACTAGGCACCCTCTTCCAGTGTTCAGATGCTGTGATGGAAGACAAAATCCAGACGCAAAAGGGAAGTTTCATCAGTAGCCAAGAAGGTATTTGAAACTCATAGCTGTTGAGAGAGGAATCAGTTTTCTTTCATGGAGCTACCCTAGGTTGATCATACTCCAAGGCAGGAAATATGCTCAGGAATACTTGGCCAACAAAAATCATACTCTATGAGGTTTTTTTTGTTTCTTTGTTGTTTTTTTTTTTTTTATCCTTTAAAAATTTTTTTAAAAATTTTATGTGGAGAGGTGTTTTGCCTGCATGTATTTCCATGTACTACATGTATGCATGGTGCCCTCAGGTCAGAAGGAAGTGTCAGAGTTACAGATGGTTGTGAGCTGCTATGAGGGTGCTGGGAATTGAATTTGGGTCCCCCAGAAGAACAGCCAGTGCTCTTAACTTCTGAGCCATCTCTCCAGCTCCTAAACCCCATCCCTTTTGCTTTGTTTTACTTTTTTTGAGACAGGGTTTCTCTCTGTGTCCCTGGCTGTCCTGGAACTCACTCTGTAGGCCAGGCTGGCCTCGGACTCGCAGAGATCTACGTGCCTCTGCCTCCTAAGTGCTAAGATTAAAGGTGTATGCCACCACTGCCCGGTTCCTACCCCCTTTTTTAAAAGAAAGAAAGAAAGAACATGTAGTTGGGTGGGTAGGGAGATGGAGGCAGAGCTGGGGGGGGGGGAAGAATATGCAAATTTCAAAGAATAAACAAAAATGCAAAAAATAAGTCTGTGATGGAATTTGTCTTGCTGAAGAGATGGATTCCCTTTGAAACTGTGAAATCTACAAGGCTTAGAATGCATAGGCTTTTTATTTTATTTATTTTATGTGATGGGTGTCTTGTTTTTATGTTTGTCTGGACACAGTGTGCATGTCTAGTACCTGACAAGGCCAGAAGAGGGCTTCAGACCTCCTGAGAGCCCCATGCTCAGGCCTATTGTCCATATTTCCATGTCCCTCATTGTAGTTTACCTCAGGAGGTCTCTCCTAGGACACAGTCAGTCCAGGTGCATCGCTCTGCCCTGTGGGTTTTCATGTGATGCATCCTTTGGATCATTTCACTGGATTTGGAACTGTGTGGGTGCTGGTGGTTGTGAGTGGGGGGTTCACTCGCAGGGCTTTTTTTCCCAATCCTTGATAGGTACTATCATCCTGGACTGTGTCAACATGGATGCCAAAATCGGAAAGGCAACCCCGAAGGACAGCAAATATGTGGAAAAACTGGAGGCCCTCTTCCCAGATCTGCCTAAAAGACAGGACATGTTTGATTCTCTGCAAAAAGCGAAGTTTGACATCTCAGGTATGACATGTATGGCTGAATTTTTCATGTGAGAAAGTCAGTGGGCAAGCTCTGAAGATCATATCTGGAAAGCCATCAGAGCAATTTCAGAGCATTAAGATGGTTTACCCTTATATCAGGTGTCTGCTCTTGAATCCATCAGTCATCTGAGTCTGGGAGAGGATGAGAAAGGACAGGGTCGGAGCCCACGATGTAATCCCAGCACTGGTGAAGCAGAGGCAGGAAGGTAGAATGTTCAGAGCAACATGGGCTACATAGTGAGTTTAAAGATTGCTTGAGCTTTCTTGCCTCAAAAGGTAAAAGCTACCCAGAGAAACCCTGTCTCCAAAGTAAACAAACAAACAAACAAATAAAAATGAGAGGGATTTAGCCTGGCAAGATGGTGCACGCCTATAATCCCGGCCCTCTGGGAGGCAGAGGCAGGCAGATTGCTGTGAGTTCGAAGCCAGCCTGATCTATAAAGTGAGTCTAAGACAGCTAGGGCTACACAAAGAAACCTGTTTCCAGAAGAAACATAAAAAGAATTTTTAAAAGACTAGCTAGGTGGTAGTGGCACACTCCTGGAATCCCAGCACTCAGGAGGCAAAGTCAAGCAAGACAAAGATCTCTGTGAGTTTGAGGCCAGCCTGGTCTACAGAGGGAGTTCCAGAACGCCCAGGTTACACAGAGAAAACCTGTCTCAGAAACAAACAAACAAGTCCAAGACTAGGTGTGCAGCACAGTGGACTTGACGGGTGTGAAAAGGAGAGAGAAGAAGAGGCTCAAGAGCCAGCTGGGCGGGAGGGCAGGTGGGCCTGGGGATGTTGGGGAGGATCGACATGATCAACACATTGTGAAATTCGCAAAAACCAAAAAAGCTTAGCATCCCAGTCTAATCTGAGCATGTAGGGTATAAATAAACTGTACTGAGGGGGGGGTTAAGTTATTAGAGCTACAGCTATGTAATTAGTGGAAGAAACTGGCTTAGTGTGTTGGTTCAGAGGACAAAGAGAACCAATAACTGCCATCATCTACCTGTTGAGATTAAAAAAAAAAAAAAAAAAAAAAGCAAAAGAAGGAAATAGAAATTCTACATGGGCGCTTAGAAAGCCAAAGGAAACACATGGACTGAGGAGAGCAGGTGCTTGCCCAGGCTATGCACGGGCCTGGGTGTGGTCCCCAGCCAAAAAGGAAAGAAATGCAGTGAGAGGAGGATAGAGGAAAGGAAAGGCCTCAGTGGTTTGGGTTCCAGCTTTTTGCGTGTTTGTTTTGAGAGGGTGTGTTTATGTTAATGAGGCGGTCCCACTGTGTAGCGGCAGCTGACCTGGAACTCGCGGTGTAGACCTGGCTGGTTTCGGGACTCTGAAGTTCCTCCAGCCTTTTCCTCAAGAGCACTGGGATCAGATGCACCACCACACCCAGGAAAGCCTCTCTTACCCTCTACAAAGTCCTTCTGCTAAAGGTAACCATTTAACTACTGTGACCTGATTATTATCATTTCAAAAATTTATTTGAGCTGGGTGTGGTGGCTCGTGCCTCTATTGCTGTACCTTGGAGGCAGAGGCAGAAAGATCTCTGTGAGTTTGAGCACAGCCTGGTCTACATAATAAGTTCAGGACAGCCAGGATAGAGAGACCCCATCTCAAAAAAAAAAAAAAAAAAATATATATATATATATATTTTTTTTTTTTTTTCATGTAAATTCTATCTATTATATAAATATATGTGAACATGTTTGAGATTCAGTATGTGTGTACGTGTGTGTGTGTGTGTGTGTGTGTGTGTGTGATATATGGGTGTTTTGCCTGCATGTATGTCTGTATATTATATACATGGCTGGTGCCCACAGAAGACAGAAGAAGGCATCAGATTCCCTGGAACTACAGTTACACACACTTATAAGCCACCATGTAGGTGCTGGGAATTGAACCCTGGTCCTCTGGAAGAATAGCCAATGTTCTTAACTGCTGAGCTGTCTCTCCTGCTTGTGACTTGATTATTTAAGAAATCCCTTATATAATTACATCTTCAGTTACTGTTCCTGTTCATTGCCCTGAGGAGAAAGTGTTTTTCCATTTTCTTTGCCTTTACTCTGGAGGCGTCAGGCCAGGTCCCCTATTTGCCTCCTAGTTCCCCATCTGTTTTCTAGGACTGAGCACTGAGCAAATGCTCAGAAAGGACCAGAAGACCATCTACAGACAAAGCATCAAGGTAGCTGTCAGTGCCATCTACATGGACCTGGAGGTAAGAGCAGATTGCCTGTGAGATGGAAAATAATGCCTTCAGTCGTGCACGAGCCCTTGCCCTTCACTGCGGCCTCACTCCAGAGGACCAGGATCCTCTCTGCTTGTCTCCATCTCCTCTGGGCTTCTCCACAGTCCATCACCCCTCACTGTCCTGTGTGAACAGCCTGAGTGCTAGTTTCTCTGCATTCACTTAGTTTTTCACTCCTACAGGCTGTTCTCCATAGAGCAATCCGTGGTTTTTGTGTATAATTTCCTTTTAATATTTTTTGATAGGGATGGAAAGTTGGCTCAGTGGTTAAGAACATTTTTTCCTCTTACAGAGGACCCAGGTTCAGTTCTTAGCGCCCACATGGTAGTTTACAACCATCTGGAACTTCAGTTCCAGGAATTCTGACACCATCTTTAGACTTCTGTGGGCCCCAGGCACACACACATGCTACACATACATACATGCAGGCAAAACAATCACACACATAAAATAAAATTTCTAAAATGTAAATATACATATTCTAGCCATTAACAGCTGAGCCACCTCTCCAGCCCTTTCAAAATTTTTTCTAAATTACATTTATGCCAGGCACGGTGGCACGTGCCTTTAATCTCAGCACTCTGGATTCTCAGAGGTAGGCAGATCTCTGAGTTCCAGGCCAGGCAGGGCTACAGAGTGAGACCCTTTTTCAAAACACACTGTGCAGTGGCGACATACATGTTTAATCCCAGCACTCAGGTGAGGTAAGGCCGGCCTGGTCTACAGACCAAGTTCCAGGACACCCAAGGGCACACAGAGAAACCCTGACTCAAAAACGAACAAAAACTACAACACACTTAGAAAGGTCAGAGATCAGTTCTTTGTTCCAGCTGTGTGTGTTCTGGGGACTGAACCCAGGTCGGCAGCCTTGGCAGCAAGTGCCTTTACCTGCTGAGCCATCTCCTTGGTCTTGTTCATGTGCTTTTCAAGATAGGTTGACATGGGAAGTTGCTATGTAGCCAAGACTGATGGTGAATTCAAGGCAGGCTTCCTGCCTCTGCCTCTAAGAGCTAGGATTACAGTCTGGAGCCACCATATCCAGCTGTAGCATGACCCTCGCTTGGCAGCCTAGAGCGATCCCTGCTCTGATGTTCAGTTTAAAGCACCCATGTCAGGCAGGTCATAACCACTGATAATTTTTCAGTTTAGGGACTCCTGTGCTGTCTGGCCTCTGTAGGTGTCTGCACTCACATAAACATTTATAGACACTTTTTTTTTTTTTTTTTTTTTTTTTTTTTTTTC